AATTAAATAAATAAATTATAGTTAAATAAATTTTCTTTATTTGAAATGAGAAAAAAAATCAAAAAAAATTAATATTAAAAAATAAAAAAAAAAAATAAATTTTTATTTTGTAATTTACTTAAACTTTGATTAAAAATAATTTTACTTACTATAGAAATATTCCTTCTGGTTAAAGTAATATAGGCCCTAAAACTAAACAATGAAAATATTTTAAAAGTTTAAAGTTTGTAATAACGAACCCAACTTTGCCTCCTTAAATTAGATAATTCTAACCTAAATTTCTTTTAAATAATATTTTACGAAAACTAAAACAAAAATATTTAAAATAAAAAATCCGTTTTAAGGTAAAATTGAAATTAAAATTTAGTAAAATAAAATGAATTTATAACATGTTATTTATAATCTTAAAAAAAAAAAAAAAAAAAAAAATTTAACCCATATCTAAATTGGTACATAAAGTTTGGATAAAATGAGAAATGACTTAGATAGTTTTAAAAGGCCATTAATATTATTAAAATAATATTTAAATTTAAAAGAAGAAAAGGAAAAAAAAAAAAATAAAAAAAAAATAAAAAATTTTTTCTGCTAGTTAGTATATACAAATAAAAAAAAAAAAAAAAAATGTAAAATGTTTTAACCAGAACAATGAAAATATTTTAAAATTTTAAAAACAAGATTAAAATAATGTAAAATAAAATAATGTTCGGATGTTCTAACCCAAATACATTTAAATTACATATATTAAAATAAATAAATTTAATTATAGTAAAATAAATTAATATAAATCTGACAACATGTAAGCTTTGACCAATTTTTGTTCAACTGCCATGAAATATTAAATAAATCGGATTTAACTGAAAAAAAAAAAAATCTTTAATAAAAAGATATGAAAAAAAAAAAAAAAAAAATTTGAATAAATAAACATATACTTAAACCAATGTTAAAAATTAGAATTTTCAAATTTTTTTTGTTCTAAAAGAATATAGTAAATTAAACTAAACAATGAAAATATTTAAAATCTTTAAAGTTGTAATTTAAAAAAAAAAAAAAAATCTGTTGTAGAGCTATGAAAATTTAACCGTTAAAATTTTTCTTTTTTTTTTTTTCATAAATTCAGAGTTTGTCCAGCATGACGTTCAATTTAGTGTAAATACATCCTTAATATTACTGTAGACTTCCAATGACATGTCCTCAGTCAAGGAAATTTCTAGAACCCCTGTTATTTGTAGGGTTTAATATAAACGGAAACGTGATTTCTGAATTTGAAATTTATTTGCAAAAAAGTCATTACAAAAAAAAAAAAGATTTTTGAACCTCATGTCAAACAACTTATTTGCAAAAAAAATTAGGGTTTTATTTTAAATACAACATTGTTCTTAAAATATAATAAAACATATATATATATATATATATATAAATAATATAATATATAGTGTCTGAAATTTTAATCTTTTAATATGAGAATTGTTCAATATTTATATATATATAAATATATATATATATATATATATATATATATATATACTAAATTGTTGATTGATACTGATATAAAATCCGGTGTTCTTATAGATTTTTCATTTTTTGAAAATATTGCTCAATGTAAATTTAAAAAGCATTAAATTATAAATTAATTGACGATAAATAATTTATTTATTTGAAAAACAGTATTGGGTAAATTTGGATTTGAAGTGGAAAAATTTTTTAAATCAACCATTTTAATAACAAAATAATATATTTAAGAAAAACAGTGTGTCTGAAATGCCTCACAGGTAATTTTTCAATACTTTATATATATATATATATATATACATATATATATTATATGGACAATTATATATCGGTGTTCTTAAAATATTTTTTATACAAAAGAATTAAAAAAATTAATGTGATCAATTGGCGAAAAATTCGGTTTAACAGAACAGTAATGAGACTATATAAACTAACGAATTCCTTGAATAATAAAATGCCTTTACTTTTTGGATATTTTTAAATATAATATAAAAATATTAGAAATGCAAAATTCTTCCTTAATCCATAGTGAAAATATTTTTTCAACTGCACGAATAGAGAAAAAGTTATAGGCGACTTGTCGGCTCTCGTTTTGGGGTTTTCTTTAAATATTTATGGCGGCCAAAAAGTGGGGGATTAGGTATATTTCTCTTGTTTTTATAATTTTTATTTTCCATTGAAAATTGATATTTGCGACGAAATAGCCCCTTGTCTTTGAGGTTTTCTTTAAACATTTAGAGCGGCCATAAAGTGGGGGATTAGCAATATTTCCCGTGTTTTTACAATTTTTGCATCCTATGGAATATTTATGAAATTGATATTAAATGATAGGAAATTTCTTCATTAATCCAGGATGAAAATGATTTTTAATTGGAAGAATAGAGAAAAGTTATATGAGACCTTGTCGGTATTCGTACTTGGTATTTCTTTAAATATTTAGGGCGACAGAAAAGTGGGATATTAGATATGTTTCTCTTGTTTGTACCATTTTTAAAAAATGTATGGGAAAATTGCGCCCTGAAGATAACAATTTGAAAATTGTCGAAAGTACTTGGTATGTGTTTTCAATCTGAACGTTAGATAACAAAGACCATCTCCTCACGTCTCACTGAACACAATCTCAGTAATATTACCGTCACAGCACGAGAAGTCTCTAGATTTATCAAAGTCCAAATTACTGTTTATAAACACACAATCTTCGACGATTTTTCTCGATCGATCATATCTGCTCACGAAACGTATCTTAACGTAAACAATGACAACATATTCTGAAATAGATTAAGTATGGCAATTATTTAATATATTTTCAGGTCGGTAAATGTAATTAATACTGGTTATTTAAAAAACAAAGCATTTACTTAAATAAATTATATCTTTAAAAATAACGTATAAACAGAAAATAGCTAAATAATTGTCTGACTTAATCCATTTCAGAAGTTCTCACTGTTTACGTTAAGATACGTTTAGTGAGCAGATATGATCGATCGAGAAAATCGTCGGAGGTGTCTGTTTATAAACAGTAATTCGGACTTTGCTAATCAGATGTTTCTATGTGGCACGTCAGATCAAATGACGATTCCCATTAGGGTTAAAGGTTTGATTCCTGTCGGAACACATATTTTCTACGAAATTTCTTGTTTATTCAGGCTAGTAAATGTAATTAAAACTGTTTAATATAATTTTTTATAAAAATAAATGCTCCGTTTTTCTTTTGTTAAACAGTATTCAAAATTCTGTAATAAATCGAGATATATTATATAAGGATAAGGGCGGGCCATAAATTATATTATCCTCAAAAATGTCAACACATATTTGTCTTTCATTCTAATCTGAAGAAGCCGGGGTCAACAGACGATGTAAGCGAAACGAGTCGTTTATAGGTTTCCCACTTAATCGTATATATATATATATATATATATATATATATATATGACGAGTCGACCGAAAGATTACTCAAAGGATCGTCTACGAAGCTCTGAGTCAGAGTGTTGGATATAAAATCAATTTGTTAAGTGACAAATTTTAAATTTACATTAATTTTATATATATATATATATATATGTGTGTGTGTGTGTGTGTGTGTGTGTGTGTGTGTGTGTGTGTGTAATTATTCTCAGAATGTATCTGTGAAGGAGACAAAATGAATAAAAGAGACAAGAGGGGCTAAGAATATTTTTTCCTTTTTAATTCATATATATATATATATATATATATATATATATATATATATATATATATATATATATATTGTATTAGAGCAGTAGATCACTATTTAAACATATATTTTGAATATAACAGACAATGAACGTCTATTATGTATGATCTTGAGTCGTTCGAATGTTTGATTTAATTTCTGGTTGGACAAAAATTGTCTTTATTTTCACCAGAAATTAAAGTAAGCATTCGACCATTAGAACGACTCATGATCAGACATAATAGACATTCATTGTCTGTTATATATAATAATATGTTTAGATAGATAGATAGATAGATAGATAGATAGATAGATAGATAGATAGATACTGTCAGACTTCAGACACAGAAAGAGAGAGAGACAGACAGACAGACAGAGGGAAGGATAGACATCATTCATCATTCCACTTATAACCTTTGGCTAAAATCCTTCCCGTTAGGTATGACATTCACATGTCTCCCTTTTTTTAGAAGAAGCTCAGAATCTGATATTGGCCTACAGTATGCGCGATAAGCTCCTATACTTTTAGTGTTTCCCAATCCTAGCTCAAAATATACTTACTTCTTGTGTTCTAAAACTATTTTTTACTGGTGGTGATAGTGGAAGGAGGGGTCTAGCTTTCTTGTAAAATTTCTTTCGCTTCCTTTTAAATATTGCGTCTTACCTCTTTACACTCTCATAATATTCTTTCTTGTGAATTACATTTTTTTTTTCCTTATTTTTCTCACTTTTCCTTTTTCACTTTTTCTTTACTTGCTGCCATTACTTTTTCAGCTTTTGTTTTACGCCTTGTGTCACCATTTTAACATCTTTCGTAAATTTTTACTCCACGAAATATTTAGACCTACTCCCCCGTCACCCTTTAAGTTCTGGGCGATCATTTTGTTTCCCAGTTAATTAAGAATTTAGGAAAAAATTTGGAAAAGTAATTAGACGAAAAGAAATTAAAAATTATGAGGAAATTTTAATTGGCAACCGAAAAATAAAAATTACGTTTCCAAATAGTTAAGGGCTAAACACTTGTGAAGCCGGCGATACGGTGATACATTTTGCAAGGAATAATTTGGGTCCGATAGAAATAAGTTTTTTAAGTGAAAAAAAAAAGCAATAACCAAAGTATAAAATGAAATAAAATTTTATTTCAGCTTGAAAATTAAGAAAAGTTGAAAGAAGAACGATAAAAAAAATTGATAAAAAATAAAATAAAGTAGTAACGGAGAGAAAGCAATTTTTTAAAAAGTGGATAATGAGAATAAATGAGACGAGAAAACAGGAGAAGAGTTTAGACTAGAATGTGTTAGAATGGAGAGGATAAATAATGAAAGGAAGAGAATGAAGATAAAGAAAGAAAAGGAAATGATGAGGTGTATAGGAATGTGTAGAAAAGAAAAGGAGAAAAGAATGAAAGAAAAAAAAGGATTGAGAAGAGACGGAGAGAAAGAAGAAAAAGAGAGTTAATGATAGACAGAATGATGAAATAGAAAACGTTTTTTACAAAAAAAAAGATAATAACGAATAGGAAAGTCAAAGAGAAAATCGGAAAGAAATGAAACAGTTGTGAAGAAGAAAAGTAAAAAAAAAAGAAATAGAAAAACGAAGAAAACGCCTGAAATAAAGAGGCAAGACAATTATAAAAAGAATCAAGCAAAAAAAAAACAAGAAAACAAGAAAAGAGACTGGCTGTTTTAATAACAAAGACAACGATGAACTGGAACAAGATGAATGATGAAAGCAGACGATAAGAAGGAACGCAAACGAAAATAAGTTTAAAATATACAATTTTAATGAAAATAACATGTAAAAACAAAACAAAGAATGAAATTTTTTAAAAATCATTAAATAAAAGAATGAATAAAAAATAAAGACATAAAGAAGAGATTGGGAAAAATGGCGAATGAAACGTGAAAAGCAAAAAAAAAAGCAAGGATAAATATGACAAACAGGATGGTGGAGACGCAGTTATGCAGGGTCATGGCGTTTCATTTTTCAGTCCTAAATACTTAGATAAAAATCACGAAGAATTTTTGGATTGTGGTAAAATCTGCGCTAACCGTAGTCCCTAATTAAACAGAGAAAATTAATGAAATTTGATAAAGAAAAAAGAAAAATGAAATAAAAATTATCGTGAAGAATACAATTAAAAGGAAACATAAAAAAAATATACCAACTAATTACCAAACAACCGGCCTTTCTGTATAAACATATGAAGATACACACGGATAACACAGTGTTGCTTAATTCAGTAAGGCGAAGGACACAAGAATGTCCATATATATATACATATATAGATATATATATATATGTATGTATGTATGTGTGTGTGTGTGTGTGTGTGTGCGTGCGTAAGTGTGTGTGAAAATTTCTATTTCATACATTACTGCCCTATAATTTTATGCATTTATGGAAAATCAGGCTTACATAAGTCCTAATTTACATTTATGCAGAATGGAGCATTAATCGGTTCACTTTTATCTATTTATTTATTTATTTCTTCTCGCCCATCTCTCTATGTCTGCTGCTCAATATATATATATATATATATATATATATATATATATATATATATATATATATATATAACAGTAATAGTAAAATATAATTCCAGAAATTTAATTATCAGTTCTTTCATAGAAAAGTAAAGCTCGTTAATTGCTTTAAATCGAACGTTTAAAACTTACACTTACATAGAAATGCAGGCGCATAGAGATATACATATACATACATGCAACCATAGATAGATAGATAGATAGGTAGATAGATGTGAACAGGCTGAGCTAGTTGGATAGATCGATTTTGTATACTTTTTATTTAGCTTCTATGTAATTGACCAATCAAAATCCTCTTTTTTTCATCAACCAATGGAGATGGTGGTAAAAGTCTTGTAAAAACACAAACCCTATCTCCATTCTCTATATATATATATATATATATATATATATATATATATATATATATATATATATATATATATATATATATATATATATATATATATATATATATATATATATCAATTGAGCACTGTTGAACAACAAGCTAATTCTAAAAACAACAGCCAACTGCATAAATGCGAAGCTATACAGTAAAATGAATGGAGCACTTTGGCTGCTTGGCATTTGTTAACACTTGTAAATTTGGCTGCTTCGTTCTTTTGTGTGAAGATGGCTCAGTGGTAGAATCTCTAACTGGCACCAAATTGGTTGGGTTTCGATCTGGGCTTGAGGCATCCGGTTGCCTCGTCGCACTGAGGGGCTGTGTTACCAGCGAAACAGTACTGTCTGCAAATGACCTAATATGTATATGCAATTTTTTTTATATATATTATTTATTTATTAAATATAGGCGGTACTTATTGGAAAGCGCTCAATATCAGTGATAGAGTTAACATATTTAGTTGGATTGATGTGAGTTTGTGACCCTGGGTTTCACGCTATTTGCGATCGTCAGACAAACTGATTAATATTTTGAATTTATATATGGTTGCGTATATTGGTGTTTTTATGGAAGTGGGAGGAAAAATTGTCGTTGGAACGCCACTCATACTTACGCAAGCATACATACACGCACGTACACACATTGACGTACGCAGACACACACACACATACACACACACACACACGTACGCTCATTCACCGTTCCGACGACAATTTAAAAAAAAAAAACACCGATATATGCAACGATCGCAAATAGCGTGAAACCCAGGGTCACAAACTCACATCAATCCAACTATATATATATATATATATATATATATATATATATATATATATATATATATGGGAAGCCAAAAGCTTTGTTCTTCTTTTTAAATAATGATAAAATGTATTTTATTTTCAGTTTTAATTTTATTGAAAATCTTATTTATCGTTTGGTTCCGCCATCATTATCGATCTTTCAGACTTTCACGTTTTTATTAACCAATGAAAATTCTTCGCTTTCTGAACAAAGAAATGCTTTTTCCTGCTTTTTATAGTCTTCTAAAGAATTACATTTTTTTTATCATTGTCAGAATTTCTAAGAAAACAAAATAAATGGTAATGCCAACGTGTAATTACAGCTAAATACAGCGAATAAGTGAAAACTTACCAGGCAAATTCTACGAATTTTTACCTAATCACCAAAAATCATTCGGTCAAGTTTTTTGGGGTTTTTTGGGGGGTTTTTTTTTTTTGGGGGGGGGGGTTATAACAATATGAGGGTCTTATTGATTAAATAACTCCGGGCATCTATTCAAACTGAATGTTCATATGCTGAGGCTAATATCAGCCGTAGGTTTATAAGGAAAACATTCGGTATGCATTGACTGAGCAGCCAGTTTTACTCTTTGTTGAAATTATAAAATATTTCACTTAAAACGATTTTTCAAGAAAATAGATTCCTCAACTTCACGAAATGTTATCGTTCTTTCCCGTATTGATGGAGGTTTCCATCTTAACCTCTTGTTTGAATTATTTTGTTTTGTTTTTTTTTACAGTAAGGTTCACTATGTATAAGGCTCGAGAGCCACTCGCGGTAGAGGGTTACGTTAAGAGGGAGTTTATACGAATAGGAAGGGGAGATAACGTTTAACTCTATTCTTGAACAGGTTAAGATTTTAGTAATCGGTAAAGACCGTCTTAGCAGTCCCTTTTACAGAACAGTGGTTCTCGGGTTGTTAATATTTCATGTCATGATTTTTTTTGTTACATGTGCTATCCATTTTAGTTGTTGCAGCTGTTGAATGTCCTCAAGTGATGTGGTTTCTTTATTTTGCTTTTTTACAGCGAGTTTCACTCCTTACAAGGCCCAGGGCCCACTCGAGTTAGAGGGTTAAAATAAGAGGTAATTTATATGGATAGGAGGGGAAGATAATGGTTGACTCTAGACTTGAAAAGGTTAAGACTGTAGTGATTGGGGAAACATCCTGTTGAGAGTCGGTTCCACAGGGCAGTGGTTCGCGTGAAGAAGCTACTCGAGTGGAACTTATTTCTCACCGATGGAATACGGGGCGAATGTGGATGGTTTGCTACTATGGAAGTGGCATGACGTGTTCTTGCTGTTCGGCGGGGTCGAGGAATGTAGTTCGTCCGAGCACTTTCCATGGAAGTAGCGATAACGAAATGAGACGCTTGCCACAACCCACCTGTGGGAGAGAGATTGAAGCATGTAGAATAGTTCGTCACCGACAAGAGCTCGGAGTCGCTTTTGAACTCTATACGCCAGGAGAGTGAGGTCTGGGCAGCTCCAGCCCAAATACAGTGCTGTTCGATAAAAGTGACTCACCTGATTTTTTTTTTTACTAAATGTTCTCTTCTCCGATGAAACGAAAGTTGAGCTAAATTCATAGGATAAGCAATCTGAAATCTGAAGAAGAAGCTTTGAAAGCTCTTTGAATTTAGCAGTAAGTACTGTCAAGCATCCATTCAGTATAATGTTCTGTGGATGCTTTTCTTTTCATGGAACTGGTTTCTTAAAACCTACTGAAAAGACCTTCAGGAGTGAGCAGTACAAGAGAATTTTAGAGTCTTTTCTGCTCCCTTCTGCTGAAATGGTGCAAATCGACTCCACCAAGCTCATTTTTATGCAGGATAATGCTCCCTGTCACAAATCAAAATTGATGAAGGAATACTTTGATGAGAAGCAGGTGAGTGTTATGACATGGCCGCCCCAATCTCCTGACCTCAACCCCATAGAAAACTTATGGAGCATTATAAAGTACAGGCTCCCGAGAAAGCAGTTGAGCAAGATTCTCCATAGTGGGGTCGATTTGCACCATTTCAGCAGAAGGGAGCAGACAAGACTCTAAAATTCTCTTGTATTGATCGCTCATGAGGGTCTTTTCAATAGGTTTTAAGAAACCAGTTCCATAAAGAGAAAAGCATCCCCAGAACATTAGGCTGAACGGATGCTTGACAGTACTTACTGCTAAATTCAAAGAGCTTTCAAAGCTTCTTCTTCAGATTTCAGATTGCTTATCCTATGAATTTAGCTCAACTTTCGTTTCATCGGAGAAGAGAACATTTAGTAAAAAAAATCAGGTGAGTCACTTTTATCGAACAGCACTGTATGACCACAGTACTCCATTTTGGGCCTGATGTGGCTCTTGTAAAGGTAGAGGATAACATGAGGGGTCAAGTACTTACTGGAGCAGTACAGGAAGCCGATCATTTTACCTGCATCCTTATCAACAGATCGTGTGTACGAGTTGCACTTCCCCGTGAGGACCCCCGTTCATTAAGATTGGTGGCAGTTCGGCGTCAGATGGGTAATGATGGATTGTAACTAGCTTGGTCTTCGAGGCATTGAATGTAACCAGCCAGTTTCCCCCCCCCAGTGCGAGATCGGAAGAGAGATCAGTCACCAATCTCTGACCATCGAGAGTGTTAGAGATGCGCCCGTATATAGTCATACCATCGGCATAGATGTTTACAAATGATCTGAGCATATAAGCAGATCGTTTATGTAGATCAGAAGAGAGTTGGTTCGAAGAGTGACCTCTAGGGCTCCGGAGGACTGGTCATTACTTACTGGAGTGGTACAGGGAGCTGACCATTTTACCTGCATCCTTAGCAATGGATCGTCGGTGTGAGTTTGAGGCGCAATAGTCTTTCAAGGCACGGCACTTCCCCGTTTATTAAGATTGGTGGCAGTTCGGGGTCAGATGGGTAATGATGGAATGTAACTAGCTCGGTCTTCGAGGCATTGAGTGTAACCAGACAGTTTTTGGCCCCCTATGCGAGATCGGAAAAGAGATCAGTCACCAATCTCTGACCATCGAAAGATTTAGTGGTTTGCCCATATATAGTCATATCATCAGCAAATATGTTTACAAATGATATGAGTATATTCTTAGGCAGATCATTTATGTAGATCAAAAAGAGGGTGTCTAAGGATTGACACCTGGGGGACGCCTTTGTTGACTTCAAGGGCTCCAGAGAACTGACCGTTGATAACTCATCTTCAGGGCCCTACCTATTAAGAAGGATTTTATGATCGAGAAGATCTTTCCAGTGTTTCCATACTTTGAGAGCTTGTGTAGTAAGCCTTTGTGCCACATCTTATTGAAGGCCTTTGATATATCTAGTGCTACGGTTCTGAAGGTTTGTTTGTCGTCAAGAGCCTCACTGATTCTGTGAGTGATGGTAGTTAGGACGTCGGTAGTGGATTGGTCCGACTGAACCCATACTGCTCGTCACTGAAGAGGTTGTTCTTTTCCAGGTGCTCAACAACTTTCTTATTGATTATGGCCTCAAAAAGGTTGCTGATGATGCTAAGGAGGCTGATGGGTCTGTACTGTGAGGGAAAAGATCACACGCCCGCGCTCTTGAAAACTGTGTATACGCTTGAAACCTTCCACAGGCATGGGAAGGATTTCTCCTTCAAACAGTGGTTGAATCATTTTGCTAGAATTGGGGATAGTTCCGGGTTGAGTCTCTTAAGGTCCGCCACCGAAATTTTGTCTGGACCAGTGCCTTTCTTAGGATGAAGGCTTTTGATAAGTTTAGAGATCTCGCGTGCTGTGACCATAATATTACTGATATTGTGGTCAGAATGGACGTTGGAAATTGAGTAGGGGATGGTCTTTGTCGTCTAACGTTGAAGAGGTTCGCCTTGTCTGTCGATGAAGATATAACATCGGGACCATTCATAATTGTGGCCACAGCTATTTTATCTCCGATTATTATTTGGTTGGTGATCTTTCAGAATTCACAAGATCCAATTTTCAACCTTAGTCTGGGCCGCACGTGAATAGATGCACTTGGCGTTTTCTAGAACTTTTTTCCAGCGATTGTGGGCAGTTCTGAATGCAGTGAGGGCCGAACTACTTCGATCCTTTCAATAGATATTGAAGTAATGGTTTTCAAGGAGTTATGGCTGTAGCATATTCAGGGGTGAACCAGAGTTGACTGTTTGGTTTTTGCTGGAATTTCACACTCCCCATCACAGAAAGGATCCAATCAGTGACAAGGGAAGCAGTTTTGAGACAGCATGCTTGAAGAAGGTTATTAGGGAAGCTTCCATTATTCAGGATCGAAAGCTGTTCCAGTCTGTCTTTGCATAGCAAAATATCGTTTTATGGAACGGTACATCTGGGGATTCCTTAGGTTTGGCATTAATCAAGTCTGAATTACCTAATGGATGTAAAACTTTTGATAGTCATTTATTGGGCAGAAGGTTAGGAAGAGATCGATGAGGTTCACCCGATGTCCCAGTGACACGGGTAGGTTCTCCATTGATCTGGGTTAATTGATAGGCGATAGAGAAGTCTCTGTAATATCTGCCTTCCACATCAGTTTTGTTGGAGTGGACAAGCCACTACTTATGGCGGATATTAAAGTCACCGCAGATATGAAAACCAGCTGAGGGGAATTCTTGGATATTCGGTCGAAGATTACCGTCTCTCCGTCCTGAGAACGGTAGAGAACAAAGACGAATATGGTATTATGCATAAGTGCCACGTGGAAACACATATACGGGAGGTCGGTGTCCTTGTTTTTTCTCGTCTTTCATGCAGGCTCCGAATCCGTGGCCGTAATGACTTACGTAGTCATGTTTGGCATTGAGAAGTGAATAGCCAAGGACGGATATGTCCCCTATTGCACATGAGGCGGTGATACCGGTTTTAGAAATTAGCAGGAGGCCTGGTTTATATTGAAAAAAACATGGTGTTTCACTTCTGGAAATTTGGAAAGTAGACGGTCTAGGAGGGGTCTACTTTGTTTTTTTTCCAGGGTTGGGTTTCATAGTTTTGTTCATTTGTATTTTGAATGGTTTCATGTATGCATTGGTTGGTGGAAGACTGGTAGACAGAGAGACAGACACACCCGCAGGAGTTGCATGGATAGATAAGAGAAAGAGAGTCATCCATAGACACACCCGTAGCAATACCCTTCATCATGGCATCGAGAGGCGCCACTGGAGACTTCTGCACCGTCCAAAGACCATTGACAAAACGGCAGTACAGTAGCCCCGATATTATACATCTGCTGATAGGATAGCTTCCTTCGGAGTTACTCGAAGGTTCGGATTCCTATCAGGCGGAAAACGACAAAACCCAGAAAACGTCTTCCTCCAGCACCTTTAATGAAGGGACAATCAAACCAGGAAAGAAAAAACATGCGTGATGCTCCGAATGGACATGTTGTGTCTGCCCAGAAGTCAAGGCAACTGAACTCTTCCTTGGGTCAGAAACATCGTACCGGTCAGATAGCTAAAGACGCTTAGACAAGCTCGCTCATGTACCCGAGGACTAAGGGACCCAATGGACGAAGGTGGCAATGGTGGTGAGGTAACTAGGATTGCTCGGGAATGCATGTGCATCTCCTAGTCTCATTTGGATTAGTATAGAAGGTTGTTACAAGGTTCGGGGTTTGCAAAGGGCAAATTATCTATTAAAGAGGAAAAAATGAAAAAACGGAAAGATTCAAGGTTACAAAGGAGAAGAGTTATGGGTCGGGTGGGTATTATGGATTGGGGTGGGGATTGTGGACAGGGTGTGTGAAACAGCTGTAACGATTTAAGGTTTTAAAGTTTTAAGTTAGTATAAGTCCCAGTGTCGAATTTTTTGGAAATTGGATAGACTCCAACATCGGTTAAAATTAACTTGAAGGTAATTTATGCAGACGTTATCCCCCGAATATATATATATATATATATATATATATATAGTCTTAAGCTGTAGGTTAAAGTGCTCAATATCAGAGATAGAGCGTATGTAAATATAAATATAAAAGTGAACATTGAAGTCAACACTGAGAGGCAACAGGTGCAATCGTCAGGCCGCGAATGTTGGTTGTTTCCTCGACTATTTATATATATATGGATCAGTGGTGCATTGTGGGTAATCTGTTCTGGCGGTTAATTTTGTGGGAGTGACTTGTTTGTTTATTTATTTGTTTGTTTGGGTTAATTTATTTTACTTGTTTTTCATTTTCATTTTATTTTATTTATACTTTTCGGTTTTTGATTTTTTTTATTAGCGTACTAAAAAGTTTGTGGGGATTTGTTTAGGTCGCTTATTTAATAGTTTGTTTTGGTCTGGCAAGATAATTTAAGCTATTTATTCGTCCAATGTTAAATTGCTTGCCGTAGTCTATTCTGTTATTTTGGCGGGTGGACAGGTTTTAATTTATTTTTTTTATTTATTTGGATCGATTATTTTTAGTTGTTTTTACTTATTTATGCTTATTATTAGTTCTAACGGTTATTTTAGCGGGGCGACTTGTTAATTTGTTCATTTATTTACTTATTTGGATTAATTTTTATTTGTTTTTTATTTTGTATATTTTTCTTTACTCTATTTGGTTTTCGATTTTTGAGTAATGTAGTAATATTTTTTTTATCGTTATATAGCAGTTAAAACTATTTTTACATCCAATTTTTGGATTGATTGTTGTAGTCTATTCTAACGATTATTTGAATTCAATATGCCAAATTTACTTTCCTCGAAGATAACTATTATTGTTCATCCAATACAATACCAAAGAGGCACTCAAAGTAAATCTTTACTGAATGAGGTTGTTTTATGGTCATAAAGAGAGGGGGGAAGTGCTGATTATGAGAATATGCAGGATAGATAAAAGTTAAACTTACATTTGAAGATGTTAAGATTTTAGGAATCGCGGAAGCATGATCGCGTGAACTTGTTCCCCAAAGGTAACATCTGGGGAAGAAACTGTTATCCATACCTCCCCACTTTAAAATGGCGGGTCCTAGTTGCGAAGGTTTAATCTAATAGAAAATGATGGATATATGTTTCATGTTAGTGGATTTCCTGTTGGAACATTGCCTTTTAAACAGTACACCGAAAACAGGACATTCTTTTTTAGCTGGTTTATAAATTTATAACCTATTTCCAAATAATCGAGTTTCCAAACTTATACGATATATTGCATTATATCCAACGCGTCCTATAATAATATAATAATACAATACTATAATAATATAATACTATAATAATATAATGCTATAATAATATAATGCTATAATAATATAATGCTATAATAATATAATACTATAATAATATAATGCTATAATAATATAATGCTATAATGATATAATACTATAATAATATAATGCTATAATAATATAATACTATAATAATATAATGCTATAATAATATAATGCTATAATATTTCTATAATAATATAATTCTATAATAATATAATTCTATAATAATATAATTCTATAATAATACAATACTCTAATAATATAATACCATAATAATATAATGCTATAATAATATAATGCTATAATAATATATAATATATCCTGACTAAATAAGTTGGGGGCAAATATGGATTAAATATTTGATCAGGACCGGCCTGAATAAGATAAAGAATAAATAGTAAACGTTTATCAATCTAACATGTTTCACTTTTATTAAAGCTTCATCAAACTCGCTCGTAATTCACAGGAACAGAACTGGTGATAAATTTAATTTTACAAGTGCCACCCTATTTAAAAAAGAACATAGTTCTTCGCGTCGAAAGTACTTCGAGGGATTACCAATAACAATATTATCAACTATAATCACACGTTAAAAATATTGCATCACCCACCTTTAAATAAAATTCTTAAAGAGTTTAACGTCATGTCAGTAAAAACGTTCTCAAATCAGCGTGGGAAAAACACTAAACATAATATCTATAACACACACACACATACACAAACACAAACACTAACGAATATACATTAACAACTGAATCTCACATAGACAAACTAGAATTTTTATACACTTACATACATAAAGCAATATTTACGGTTTTTCAATTGGTCTTGAAATCCGTTAATTTCTTGTAACTTCGAAAGGACGTGTCATCTCTCCTTGAATTCGGAACGCCACAAATTATACTAAGGTTTCTTTAACAAGTAGAATACACGTGAAACCGGATTAAGCAATGAAAATTAAACAACTCAAAAATAAAAATACCAGAATTTCTTTCTTCTTTTTCTCTATATCTCATTCTCTGATGAAGCTTTAACAAAAGAGAAACATGGTAAATTGATAAACATTTCCTATTTGTTCTTTATCTTATACAGATTAGACGATTCATTTTCCAACAAGGTCTTAAAATGTTTAGACCGTCAAATTGAAACAGTCGTACTGGTCAATGTGCTTTTTCATTATGACTGTTTAACAATCGCGACTGTTTCAATTTGACGGTCTAATCATTTTAAGGCCTTGTTGGCAATGAATCGTCTGATCTGTATAAGATAAAGAACAAATAGGAAATGTTTATCAATTTAACATGAACTCTTTTGGCGAGGGAAATTAGTCAACAGGTGTTTCAGATGATCAGCTGCCTGTGAAGACAAAAGAAAACCGACCTGAGTTTGGCAAACAAGGTGGACCTGTCAAAATTTAGTTGCCTTGTTCCGAATCGTATAAAATGATATCTCTGGGAAAAAAAAAAAAGAGAAAATAAAATTATCTATTAACTGATTCATTGCTCTTCTCTCGTCATATCCATGTATCCTCTCATTCTCTCCCTTATCCCTTCCAATCTTAGTTGCCCATCAAGGCTTTCGTTTGAATGCTATGTAGATATATGCGAAAAGCGAATGCATAAATGTTTCTTTTTTTTTCTTTCGCTCTGTTATTCCAGAAAGAATTTAGATTAAAAGCAATTTTTACGATTTTCATATTTTGATATCTTGCCAGAAACCTTGTTGCATCATTAGTTTGTTCCTTTGCCATTCTACCCTTCTCTCCTTCTATACAGATAGATAGATATGAATAGACTTATGATAGATAGATAGATAGATAGATAGATAGATAGATAGATATGAATAGACTTATGATAGATAGATATTAATAGACTTAGATAGATAGATAGATAGATAGATAGATAGATAGATAGATAGATAGATAGGCTGTTTTTATGGTATTTTGGTAATTATTTAATGCTGAATTCTGTGATTTTGATGCATAATAGATGTTTCGAACTAGATTTGGTTCGCGCCAAAGTCTAAAATGTAGCCATATGCCCGACAAACACATCACCCCCTCCACACACACACACACACTTTTTGGAGATTTCTCCTGATTTCCCCCAATTTCTATTTACCAGTTTCAAACCAAACAAAAAACGATTTATCAAATGATTGGTTTAAACAGGTTACTCGAACACTCGTGCAAACGAGAAAAGTGATCATTATTAACACCTAGCGACTTATAAACAAAATCATTGTAGTTGCATAACTCATTTATGGCCTTCTATTTAAAAATTCAATAAATTAGATAGATAGATAGATAGATAGATAGTCTGTTTAGCGAGGTCGATTTTACTGCCTTTAAACTCCTTAAACATTCATCGATCAGACATGAATGTTCGAAGGGAATCATGGAAAATTGTAGTTTAAAAGCAGTAAAATCGACCTTACTAACTATACGCTCCTCTGTAGCTAAACTGGTATAGCACGTCAGGCTATAGATAGATGGATAAAAGTCAAAATAATGAAGTCTCGCCAGAATTATTCATAATTAATTCAGAACAACATAAACCGCCGGAAATTTATGCTTCTAAAATCTCTTGCCAAAACAATGAACTGAATTCGGCAAAAACTCCTAACGTTTGACTTGTTTTTTATTCATTTTTTTTTTTTGCTTTTTATTATTTAATTCAGATCTTTAAATCTACAACTATTTTGTTTTGTTCTAAAATATTTACTTATTTATTTTATAAATAAAGAGGAAACCTCTGACAAGATTTGAACTTCGATGTCTAGCTGTTAGTAATGTCGCCTTTCACCGTTGACCTTCGCAATCAAGCCTTTAAACAGCAAAGTTTACGCAAGTCTAATGTTAACCGTTATCTTCTGCACGTATCCACATAAACTCTGTTTCTTCGTCTGAAACCATCTACCTCGAGTGACCCTCTTCACATTAGTTTTTCTTAAGAAAACATTGGTCTGAAGATATGGATGTGAGAACAACGAAATAATTTTTTTTTTTTATAACCAGACCTGATGGATTTTTAAGGATTCTGTATTCATCAATCAAAAATCAAAAAAATCAAAAGGCAGACGTCTACTTAAACACTAATCAACCATTGCCGAGGTTGTTTAGACTGAAAAAGCTTCGCATCGGCATCCCTCAAAAGAGCGACAAAGTTCCCACAAAGTAGCGAAAATCTGTCGCCTTTGAGGACAAGTTTAAATATCTGACATGTTTCGCTTTTATTTAAGCTTCATCAGAATACAAGCCTACTCACGCACGCAAATACAAACGCACACACACAGACACACACTCATTAACACCGCAAGACAAAGACACATGAGCTCTACCTGAGCAATTAAAAACAAAAAAACTAAATGAACTACATGTAACGGAACATTCACTTCCATATTTTAAACGTTTCCTATTTGTTACTTATCCTATCATATATATATATATATATATGGGGATAGAAATGTTAAAAGAAGGCTGAAAACAACCGCGTCTAAAAGGTATAGACAACAGAAAAGTGCTCAATACAAAATTTAAAATCGAATATGTACAGCTAAGATATTTAAGAAAAGGCAAAGTTGGCAACCAACCTCGCAACCCAGGTTTCGTCTGTAAGGTCTCAGTCAAGTAAAACGATATATATATATATATATATATATATATATATATATATATATATATATATATTGTCATCCACATAGAGACTGTATCACACAGCTCGTCAGTGTAGCTAGATGTCTCGTTGCCTCTAGCTAGAATCAAAACCCGGCTGAATTGGCGTCAGTTGGAGAATCTACCCCAAGCCGATATATATATATATGTATGTATAGTTGGATATTTAGGCAGCAATCCTTCCTTTATGTATATTTGATTAAAAACGAGAGACAAAGTACTACGGTTAAGCTTTTTATTTAATTTTTCTTGTGTCCGAACAAGAGCTTTCTTTTCTGGACAAGAACTGCCCAAATGTTTTATATTTCCGAGCGCTTTCGGCTATACCTTTAGCCATTATCAAGGATGATTCGATTTTTCAGTTTGATTTGAGTGTGTGCGTTCTGTGTATGTCTTAGTGTGTGGTAGGGATGTTTTTAATTTCCGAATACGTTTAGCACATTGTGGCTTTGTTCGTAGTTAATATTGTTAAGAGTTGGCTTTTTCTTTTTTATTATTAAAGCTTCCATTATTTTTAGTCTTTTTTTGCAGGTGGATGCAGTTAATATATTTGTGTTTTCTACAAGTATGTTTCTAATGGAGTCTGGTAAATGTGTGTGTGTGTTTAAAACACAAGAAAAATTAAATAAAAAGCTTAACCTTAGTACCTTGTCTGTCGTTTTTAATGAAACATGCACACACACACACAAACATATATATATATATATATATATATATATATATATATATAATTAGAATGTGTTTGTATATGTGTGTGTTTGTTTAAATGTTTGGGATTTATGTATTATTTATGTATCATTATTTATGTGAAAACAGCGAAGAAGGGGGAAGAGGTAGGATAAAGAGTGAAAGGAAGAGGCATAAAAGTATTGCTTATGTATCATTATTTAAAAGAAAAAATTTTCGAAGCTTGAACGAAGTTAGAAACAAAACGAATGTCAAAAAGATTTCCGATTCAATTTTCTTTATGGAAGAACCTTTATTTATGCAAAACTGCTTCTAAAAGGGAAATCAAAAATCGTATTTTTTGTTTCGCCGAAAAAATACCGAATATTATCAGCAATGAAAAAAAAAAAACTGATGCCGTTTCGGATCCTGTTTTCTTGTGCCTTTTGTAAGTGAGCGTCGAATCTTTTTCTTTTATCCTTTCTTTCTATTCGGTGTTGTTTCGCCTTAGCGAATTCTGTTTTTAATCGCTGGATATGTTTTCAGAGGAAAGACTTCTGAAATAAAAATGAAAAAAATATTCAGAATATATATATATATATATATATATATATATATATATTTTAATACGAATTTACAGAGAAATAAAACGCGAGAACATTCGACAAGAGAAAGAATAAAACATGGCGCTAAAAAAAAAATGGACGTAAAAAAATAAACACCAATCAAAGTTTCCTCCGAAGAAAGTGGCGGGACAAACACACACACACTAGATCTACATCAGCATACACATATATCTGTCTCTCCCTTTCTCTCTCCCTCCTCCCCTATCTCTCTATGTATGTATATATATATATATATGTGTGTGTGTGTGTGTGTGTGTATGTGTATGTGTATGTGTTTGTGTGTGTGTGTTTGTGTGTGTGTGTGTTTGTGTGTGTGTCTGTGTCTGTGTATGTGTGTGTGTGTGTGTGTGTAGGGTTGCTGATGTTTGGTCAAAAATGGGGAAGAGAAACAGGACGAGAACTTTTCAACACCCCCTCATATAAGTAGAGATTTACTCGACCCGCCCCCACCACTAATGTCAGGTTGTGACACAAGGTTATTTTTTAACGTGGGAACCCGAGTGTTTTCACTCGGGCCGCTGGTCCATGCTGGTCTTAGCTGTTCATAGCTTGTCCAAGCTGGTCAGAGCTCGTCTGAGCTAGGTAAAGCCGTGATACCCCCAGCGTCAGGGGCCATCTATTATCAGGTAAGTATTACCCCTCATTTACGTATACATACACCCCACACACAACCCACACACAGACACACGCACACATATGTATACATTAAAGGGTGCTGAAAAGTTATATGCTCGAAAATGTTTATGAAACTGCTGATTTTGTGAACAGGATTGAGGCTTAGGCCTTTTTCAGCACCTCTCGCTTATGTAACAAGATATATGTTGATGAAAAGTGAAGGGTGACGTATTGAGAAGATTGACAAAAAAAATGGGGAGAAATATTGTAAAATGTAACGGCAAAAATAATGAGAAAAAAAAGTTCAAATTGCAGAAGAAAAAAAAACGGGAAATATTGAGAAAATATGGCAGTAAAAAAAATGGAGAAAGAACAGCGGGAAAATTAAGAAAAATCGCGGGAAAATTAAGAAAAATCGCGGGAAATATTGAAAATAAAGCGAACAAAATTCTTTGTTCCATAGTCATTTGTCGACCTGGCTAAATAATCAATAATTCTTGTTAAATTTTTCACATGACTCCCGTGCTTTTTCCTCTCTGTCTCACTCTCTCACTCTCTCTCACACACACACAAACACACTCGCTCTTCCTCTCTCTCGCTCATATTTCTCTCTTCTCCGTCTTGCTCTCTCTGTCGCTCTCACTCATATTTCTCTCTTACACTCTCTCTCTCATATTCTCTCTCGCTTTCTCTCTTATATTTCTCTCTCTCTCTCTCTCTCTCTCTCTAGCTATGTCTATCGCTCTATGCCTCTCATATTTATCTCTCTCCATGTCTCTCAAACTCTCTCTCCTATATGTTTCTTTAATGTCTCTAATGTTTGCTTTTTATCTTCGAATCTTTTTATCTTCGTAGATAATTGTACCTAATAAATATATCAATTCCTGCTTGCTTTTTTTGTGCTTCTCCTAAATTTCTAATTTCTCTTTTTCCTTCGTTATCAACTAATATCTAGCTAGCTAGTGAGCTATCTTCATTTTATTTACTTATCTATCTATCTATCTATCTATCTATCTATCTATCTATCTATCTATCTATTACAGTCTGTTCATATCTATCTATCTATCTATCTATCAATTTGTTCATATCTATTTTATTTATTGATGCCGACATAAATACGGGCAGACTGAGATAGATAAATATGCTGAGTCGGAGATAGATATTTGTTGGTAGATAGATAGATAGATAGATAGATAGATAGATAGATAGATAGATAGATAGATATTCTCAAATTTCTTCTTAACTCTTATTTACTGACGGTTTATGGTTGGGTGTTATTCACCAAAACGACATAGATAGAAACTGACATAGGTACATAGAGTGAGTGATAGATAGATAGATAGATAATGAACAGACTGAGATAGATAGATAGATAGATAGATAGATAGATAGATAGATAGATAGATAGATAGATAGATATTCTCAAATTTCGTCTTAACTGTTATTTACTGACGGTTTACAGTTGGGTGTTAACCACCAAAACGACATTAACACCTGTAAATATAATATAAACGCCTACGCACTCACGTATATTCTTGTCCGTGGGTATTTTGGGAGTTTTGTGTACGTCAACTTTCCAGAGTATTTGCTAGACTATTCTTTCCCATTTTTTCTTAGATAACCTTAAAATAATTCAAACTTGAATGGTTTTCGCAGATTGAATGGTCATATATATATATATATATATATATATATATATATATATATATATAGGGTGACCAAAAAAAACGGGAACTTTTTAACAATCCAATAAAACCAAGAGTGATGAAAGAAAAATATTTTATTTATAATAATTGAAACCTTAAAACCTGCCACTTAAGAAACAATGATGAAATTTTCATTTTTTAAAAATTACGTCCTGTAGATGGCGTCCTCCTGTACGAATGCATTTTTGAAATCTGTTGTTGAGATTCCTCATTGACTGTTGCAACATCTCAGCTGGGATACTGTGAATTTCATCTTGAATTCTAAATGGCGAAATGTTTACTTGCTCAAGGTCACTGTCTGGCAGTGTTGCTACTTGCTCATGTCTGGCAATAAGCACTTAAAAAATTCTCGTTTTTTGGGTCACCCTGTTTATATAAATGTATATATATATATATATATATATATATATATATATATATATATATGACGATTCTGTGAAAATATATATATATATGTGACGATCTGTGAAAACCATATATATATATATATATATACTATTCACATTGTTCGAACTGTTCTTCTCATCTTTGTTGCTATATTCACAGCGTTTCGGCCATTGTACGCTCTTGCCTTCTTCAGGTGATTGGAATGTAGAACTGAAATTGTTCTAGTTCCACGTGCCATGCCTCTTCCGGGTGTTTCAGTTATCTCCCTTTAAGTCAACTTTCCAATTTTATTTTTTTTTTTTTTTTTTTTTTGTTGTTTGTTTTTACCACTGCAGTGACCGGGTATTGAACTCGCAGGTCACTGGATCCAACGAACGCTTTTTAATCTGTCCTTTATGTAAATAATGACAATACCTCATCTCAGAAATATATATATATATATATATATATATATATATATATATATATATATATATATATATATAATATGCTGTTTTCCGACAGGAAAGTCCAGTATAATAATAGCAATTTGGTTAGTAGGAATCGACACTCACACCCCTGCACACATGGTTTAATTATAGTTGTGAAGGCTTTGTGCAGAATCAATCACACTTTCTGAAAAGCCGAAATGCAGGCTTTGAATTCAGAGCTGTTCTTTTCCTAGACCAGTTGCTATTTACCCATAGCTGTGGGGAGAAGACTAGGATTCATACTTTTCCCAAGGGTATTAGCACGTAAGTGAATGTAATGGATTCGACTGGAATTCGAACTCGGCTCTCCGATTCCTCAATCCGAAAATTTTTTTAAGTAAAAAAAATCAGGTGAGTCACTTTTATCGATATATCTGTATATACGCTGTATCTTTTCATTTTTTAACATTTGAATTTTTTTTTTTTTTAATATATATTTTTTAATATTTTATTAATATATTTTCATCTTATATTGGTTATTTTTTACATTTCTTTTTTTTTTTCTCTCTCTCTTGTTATTGTTTATTGCAATTCTGATGCTGGACATTACTGCCAATTACATTTAAATATATCCAATTATTCCACATGTTATGAGCCCAGAAATCGATTCTGTTTCAACGATAACGAATCCAAATCTGAACTATAGGAAGTAAAGTTTTAAGATACATGAGAATCCAAAAATTTCACGAAACAATCTTGGCACCATTTGATCGTCCCAATGCCAGAGCACTATGAAAAGAATGCAAATCCGTTTACCGAATTAATCCAATTTTTCGATGATCCAAGTCTGTCTTTTATTATGAAAGAAGCCCCTGACGATGGCAGAAAAGCGTTGCTAAAATTCTGAGAGAACATTATTTATCAAAAGGAAAACGGAAAATAATTTCCTTGTGTATAGAATTAAAGTCCCTACGAAATATTTAAAAGGTCTATAAAAACGAGAGAATTTTTTTAAAAATTAAAAAAGCTGATCTGGTTTTAAATAAATTCGTTTAAAATGTTTTTCTAAGTTGTACGTCCATACACACTGTGATTACAATGAAATAAGGCAAATTTCTACCACCAAACAATATCATAGTGTTGATTTCCTAAGCATAGCTGAAATGTGGGAAAAAAAAGCCAAAGTATGCGCTAAAAAGTGGTGATTGAACTCACTATTCAGTCGTAATTGATCTAGCAAAACAAGATTGCTAACAATTACACCAGATCGACGTGCTCAATCGATATCGAAGTAGTGTGCTGAAAAAGACTTGATATCCTGCCTCTTACCAGATATATGGAGACTGACTTCTCAGTTGGTTAAGACAGATTAAGTTCGCTCGATATGAGATTAGGATAGATAAAAATTATTGATTTGTTGGTTGATCGATTGCTTTATATAAAAAAAAAATAAATATTAAGGTGTACCAAAAATATTTTCGTTTCCTTTTCAACACTTTTTTCCTCACTATTTACATTATTCGGACTATTGTCCTCATCTTTGTCGCCATATTTGTTACAACGTTTCGGCCGTTGTACGCTCCGGCCTTCTTCAGGTGGTTGAAAAGTCGAACTGAACCTTTTATTTTGCTTGCAGGGTAGACTGTTCTACTTCCACGTGTCATGTTTAATGGATGTCAGTTATCAGTTATCTCCTGTTAATTACTTTCTCTAAGTTCTCCACTGCCTTAAACGGGTATTGAACTCACACTCTTTGGGTCCTGTCACTAACTAACGTCTTTAAGGCAGTGGAGAACTTGGAGAGGGGAATTAAAACTTTAATAACAACTTTTTAAAAAAAAGGAAAACAATTCTCGTAAAAATTCCTAATTCGTGAAAAATGTTTTTCTTAGTGCAACAGTGTCCCTAATATAAGAGCAATTAAAAAACTTTTCTGATTAAATAACGTCTTAGTTGCATTGCATTTTTTGTTATTTTACGATTCAGAACAGATTTTCGATAACTGGTTTAACTATTTTAGAAAAAGAAATTGATGATTTAAATTCTCCAATGAGTTCTGCTATTAACTAATATAAACATTAAGCAGGACACAATTTAATTTCTCAAAATTTCATTAATTATATGAGTTGGGGGGGGGGTTAAAAAATTAAAAAAACAAATAAATAAATAATAATATTCATTTATGAATAGGTCCTGAAAGCATTATTAATATCGGATACTTATTTGATTTTTGCAAGAATTTTCAAATCAATGTGTTTTTATTATTTAAAAAAAAATAAAATAAAATTTTCTATATTAATCTTTGGCGCTAAAAAGAACAAAATTTTTAACCAAAATTTCGAGCGTTCTAAAAAGAATACAAAATTTAATAATAAAAGAAATCTTTGGTCTTTCCTATTTAATAATGTGAAGATTTTGACGATAAAAACTTTGTTTTATTAAGTTTTGTGAAATTAGTCATCATGGTATGCTATATTTGTTAGCGAATCATTGGAGGTATCCCCCAAATATATATATATATATATATATATATATATATATATATATATATATATATATATAATCTCTCTTGATTGTCCTCTATTTACTGAGTTTTATAGACAAATATGCATTCTCCAACAGAAATCGAACCTGTATTCAATACGGAAATGTCATTTGGCCTGACGTGCTGTTAACCATTCAGCCACAGAGATTAATTAAAACAGGACATTTACTCAAATAATTTGTATCCATAATAATAATGTATAAACAGAAGACATATTAAAATATTTGTCGGATTTAATCTATTTCTTATAAAATGTTGTCATTGTTTACGTTAGGTTACTTTTCGGAGGAGAAATGGGATATTGAGAAAGATCGTCGATGATGTGTGTTTATAAACAGTTATTTGAACTTTGCTAAACCGGAAATCTTCCGTGGCTGAATTGGTTAACAGGACGTCAAGTCAAAATACGGTTTCCGTGGGTTACAGGTTCGATTCCTGTTGTAGGATGCATATTTTCTACGAAATCTCTCCAATATTCGGGCCAGTAAATGAAATTAATACTATTTAATTGAAACAGCGCACTTACACAAATAAGTTGTATCCATAAAAATAACGTATAAACAGAAAATATATTAAATTATACATACACAACCCCCCACCCCATATATATGTATGCATAAAATAGAAAAGAACACGCTGGGTGCATAATCCAGAGCTCCTTAGTATTTTTGTTTTTATTTTAAGAAGACAGTGCTCCATACAGAAGTAGAGCTTTATTCTAATATTTTTTTATTAAAAATATGATTCCTTCGCTACATAAGAGTTCTCATGTTTCCAAAGCGAGAGCCGAAACCATCCAAATAATTATTAGAATTAAGTTGAATTGAGGTGTTTAGTCTCGTTTCATCTTCAAGCGAAATTTTAGGAATAAGCTATCTATCGGTTTACGTGTATTTTTAGGCACGGTCCGTTACAGAATTCGTTATTGTGGGAGTGGCTAGACTATTTTCCTTCGTTAAGTGGTCAGAGAGTTAATTCTTATCAATAGATTCATTATCTTCTGAGAGGTTTTGCTAAGGTTGGGTAGGATATCTATTTCAAGGCTAATGTTGGCGGTCACCCTTTAGTTGGTTCCCAATCAGGGATATTTTTATGGCGCGCCTACAAATCATTATGTGTCGGGAGGATTGTGTTTTATTATTGTCCATCTGATTATATATATATATATATATATATATATATATAAATATATATTTCCGAAAGACCGTAGCCTGCTAATCTTAAATCAGAAATATTTATTTTTGAACATAATCTCATTCTTTGACTTTTCTCTTAATACAGAGAATATTTATCTCATAAAGTGGACTGAAATAATAACGATGAATCTGGCTATGGATTTGTTGATCCCCCGCCTATAAATGCAAAAGTGTATTTTTACAGCCCCGAGAGTTCATGCATCCAAATAAAGAGATAACCATTCGTGGAAGTCAACTTATTGGCTCAGTCAGTAAAACTTTTTTTTATTCACACTCGAATCGTCCTATCCGTCTATCAGTCTCTTAGCGTTCTCCCCCGCCTTTTTTTTTTTTTTTTTTTTTTACAAAGTACTAGAAACTCTAATCAACGCTGAATTGGTTAAGCATCTCACATCGCAGGGCTTTCTTTCAGACAAGCAATATGACTTTCTTTTCTCTCGGTCAACTGCTGATGTATTAACGATTATTGCTAAAAGATAAGAAAGGGATGTGCTTTGGATATCTCAAAGGCATTCTGGTTTTCTTCAAAAGTTGAAAGGTTATGACATTCCTGGATGAAGTTTTGAACAGATTCAGTCTTTCTTATCAAACCTTGAAATGAAAGTTGTCTCGAACGGCCACTCTTCTAGATCTTTTTGCAGGTGTGTCTTTCAGGGCTCATATCCTTAGACCTACGTTGTTCCTAGTTTCTAACAAGTGGCTTTATTGCCTTCGTTGGGGGTGAGAAAAAATCGTTTATCAAACAAAAGCTAATTTGCAATATATGAGATGATGTTGACAAGTTTTCGACACGATCCCCTCCCCAAAATTTGGATTTGGAATTGTTTATAGTCAGAGAATCTTTTAGTGTCTTATCCGCAGACTTCATAGGAATTACATAAATAGATATCTGGAAATTTTCTTTAGATCATGGAAACACTAATAAATGAATAAACTTTCGTTAAAACAAAAGGAAAACTTATCTTAGCCGACGAGTTTCGTCTACTGAGAGATTTTATCATTTTATTAAAGTCCCTCAGAATCGGCTATGTTTTTTTTCATATTATCTTTTTACTGGTATACTCTATCTGAAAATGTGTACACGCACACACACGCACACACATCTATCTATCTATCTATCTATCTATCTATCTATCTATATATATATATATATATATATATATATATATATATTTAAACAAACATATAAAATAAAACAAAGTACTGGTAAAACCAACACAAAAAGTAAACAAAGAAAATAAAAGGACAGCACCAATAAAATCAAAATAATAATTTAAAAAAAAAAAAAACATTGAGAAAAAAGAAAGAATCAAAACGGGCACACCTACCTAATCAGTAGAAAAGAGTGCTCTATATCTAAATGAGCAAGTCAGAGCAAATACGCTACCCAGTGACACGACTCAAAAAGAGACAAAGTTCCGACCGCTACTCGAGTTTCATGGTGTTGTGACTGTCAGACAAGCACAACGCAAATTAATAAAGGAAGAACTAAACAAAACACAGAGAAAAAAAAACGGAAGGGAAAAAATAAACAGAAGTCGCCTATACGAGATAAAACCAAAATAAGCGAAGAAAAAACGGTGGACATAACACAAAACTCTTAAGGTAAAATGGAATATTTTTTTAAAGCTAGAACATGTAGATCTTTAAATGAAACCTGTTTTCTATGCTTACATGAAAAATTAGAAATTATCAAAATTTCTGATAAAAACTCCTTATTAAACCAAAGATGTGAATTGACTGTACATTGTAGGCATAGTCTAAATTTTATCTTACAATATGTTTGAACTGCGGTGCACCTTATATGGATTACTATTCTATACTTTTCTTTTTGTAAAAAATATTAAAAATAATGGAAGACTTAATAATAAAGAAAAAGCCAACACTTAATAATATGAACACGGCCACAATGTGCTAACTGTGTTCAGATAATAAAACATCTCTATAACACACAACGCACACACCCAATTAAATTAAAAAAATAAAATAATTCTTGATTATGGCTAAATGTACAGCCGAAAGCGCTCGGAATTATAGAACAGTTTCTATTCAGTCTGTGTCCCAAAAAGAAGACACTTGTTCAAACATAAGAAAAATTAAATAAAAAGCTTAATCGCAGTACCTTTTCTGTCGTTTTTAATGCAAACACACACACACACACACACACACACACACACACACATATATATATATATATATATATATATATATATATATATATATATATATATATATATTGTTTTCAGTTATCAGAAGTAATTAACATTTTAAACCTTGTTTATTGTTTTCACGACGATGAAAAGTACTGAAAAATTTTTGGTTCAACTCAATTCCGAAAATGAGTTATGGTGAAAAGGGTCCAATTGAGCCATTTCAGATTTTCCTCGTAGAAAGAAAAAGGCTTATTTTTTATCTAAAAAGAAAGAGAACAAATTTTCATTAATCATGGTGTAAAATATTTCTTTTTAAACGGAAATAATTTAATCAATAAACGATATTTGATAACATCTAAGAAAACCTTTAAAAATTTAGATGACAATCGATATATATATATATATATATATATATATATATATATATATATATATATATATATATATATATATAAACATTATTGAATAGAAGTATTACAGACAATTCTTCAAAAGAAAGAATATTTATTGAAGCAAAGGATGAATATAAAATAGCATTTAGGAATCACGGATTCAAAACGAAATCAGAACATATCCTAAAACCAGAAATGAAGAATACAAAATCAAAAATAATAGTTTTTAACGTACCATTCAATAAGGATTTTGATAGAAATATAGAATGAAGAGAAAAATGATAGAAAAACAATGTTCATACACTAGATAAATTAAACAAAATAGTTAAATAGCAACAATAGAAAAACATGAAAAAAGCATGTAATTGAAGAAATAAAACTAAACGTCCCTTACAGGGAAATTTCAGACAGAAAAACATTTATATACTGTAAAAATGCCAAGAGATTCTAAGGGAGGAGAAGATTTACATCAGAACAATAAGTAATTTTTTTTTTAAAAAAATATGCAAACAATTTGTTATCATTCAAATACGTAAGAAATAAAAAATATGACACCATGTTACCAAAATATATATGTGCCGTAAAACTGAAAAAAGAAAATACTCTAAGCAAAAAGGAATATATAATTAAACACAAAATAAAGTTAAACATAATCGTGGACTCCAGTGTGGACTATTAGGGCCAGAGCTCAAAATATGCCAGGCGTTGCAATAATGGATTTTAACGGTATATATTTGCTAACCGCCAAAAGTCTAAACGTTTTCAGAGTTGCCCTTCATTTTGACTGGTTTCCAATCAAGGTTATAGAATGCAGTCTACCGTACTATTAACGCATACCTGGAATGGAGAAAGTGATGTTTGCGAAAGCAAATGCAATGCATTCTGCTACTACTTGAACTCGGCACGCCAATCCCACTTTCTACGCCGCTAATATATATATATATATATATATATATATATATATATATATATATATATATATATATATATATATATATATATATATATATATATATATATATATATATATATATAATATATATATATATAGGGCAGTAGATCATTATTTAAACATATATTATTGAATATATATATATATATATATATATATATATATATATATATATATATATATATATATATAAGGCATTTTAAAAGAAAAGCTAAAAATAAAACAACTGGTTTCGTCCCAGGAATTATCAAGTTTATTTTTGGGGGAATAGAAAATTTAAAAAGCGTGTAAATTAATTTAAATTAACGAATGGAATGGAACGGAAGGGGGAAAAAATTGAATTTCAAGAAACTAGGAAAATGTCAAAATTTTGTTTTGGAACAAATTTATAAACAAAATTTTTTGAAATTTAATAAACACACATGTGAGTAAGCGAGTTCAAAAGTTGGTGGGAGTGAGGGAGTGCAAAAAGTGGTGGGAGTAAGGGAGTTATATATTTGTGGGAGCTCAAAATTGGTGGAAGTAAGGGAGTGCTAATATTGGTAGGTATAAAGGAGTGCTACAATTGGTGGGAGTTAAGGAGTTAAAAAATTCGTGGGAGTAAAATGAGTGAAAATATTGGTGGGAGTAAGGGAGTTCAAGAATTGCTGGGAGTAAGGGAGTTCAAAAATTGGTGTGAGTAATGGAGTGCAAAGATTGGTGGGAGTAAAGGAGTGCAAAAAAATGGTGGGAGTTAGGGAGTTCAAAAACTGATCGGAGTTAGGGAGTGGAAACATTGCTGGGAGTCAGAGTGTTCAAAAATTGGTGGGAGTAAGGGATTGCAAAAATTGGTGGGAGTAAATGAGTGAAAATATTGGTTAGAGTAAGGGAGTTCAAAAATTGCTGTGAGTAAGGGAGTGCAAAAATTGGTGGCAGTTAGGTAGTTAAAAAATTTGTGGATGTAAATGAGTGGGAACATTGGTGGGAGTAAGGAAGTGAAAAATTGCTGGGAGTAACGGAGTGCAAAAATTGGTGGATGTAAGGCAGTTCAAATATTGTTGGGAGTATGGTTGTGTAAAAATTGGTGAGAGTAAGGGAGTACAAAAATTGGTGGGATTAAGGGAGTGAAAAATTGGTGGGAGTAAGGGAGTGAAAAATTGGAGGGAGTAAGGGAGTTAAAAATTGGTGGGAGTAAGGGAATGCAGAAATTGCTGAGAGAAAATGAATGAAAACATTGATGGGAGTTAGGGAGTTCAAAAATTGCTGGGAGTAAGGGAGTTCAAAAATTGGTGAGAGTAATTGAGTGCAAAAATTGGTGGGAGTAAAGGAGTGCAAAAATTAGTAGCAGTTAGGCAACCAAAAAATTCGTTGGTGTAAATGAGTGAAAACATTGGTGGGAGTTAGGAAGTGAAAAATTGGTGGGAGTAAGGGAGTTCAAAAATTGGTGGCAGTTAGGCAGTTAAAAAATTCGTGGGTGTAAATGAGTGAAAAAATTGGTGGGAGTTAGGAAGTGGAAAAATTGGCGGGATTAAGGGAGTGAAAAAATTGTGGGAGTAAGGGAGTGTAAAAATTGGTGAGAGTAAGGGAGTGCAAAAAATTGTGGGAGTAAGGGAGTGTAAAAATTGGTGAGAGTAAGGGAGTGCAAAAATTGGTGGGATTAAGGGAGTGAAAAATTTGTGGGATTAAGGGAGTAAAAAATTGGTGGGAGTAAGGGAGTGTAAAAATTGGTGAGAGTAAGGGAGTTAA